AAGTTATTTAATTAAGAAATATGAAGGTGAGTACCTCACCTTCAGCATTATAATTATTTCACCCGCGCCGGACAGAGACTGAGACGGTGCCGCTGCATGTCATGCCAAACCTCTCATGGCAGGCGCGTCATAAGCTTTAGATCGTTTTTTTGAGATCGGCTTTTTTAGAGACTGCCGATCAATCATCCCATAGCGATTATCGGCCGATAGTGATCGGTAGCCGATCAATCGGAGCACCCCTAATTTTAAAATGTAATTTATTCCTGTGATTTCAAAGCTGAATTTTTTGCATTATTACTCTAGTCACATGATCCTTCAGAAATCCTTCTAATATGCTGATTTGCTGCTCAAAAACATTGTATTATTATTATTAGGTTTTTTTTTTTTATACTACCAACTTAAAAGTCAAAATTTATATATAATCTATATAATTATTGTTATAATTATTGGACAGTACATTGTTTTAGTTTAGTTTTTCTGAAGCAAACCTTTAGCTATTAGCTGCATAACTGTGATTACTCCTTTTCTGTTCTGTTTTGTTCATTTAAATTAGGTGAAAATTGGTCTTAATTTACATACATTTTCGAAAGTGCACCCTTATTTATTTTTATAAAATAAGCTGATCAATCCTGCACCAAAATCAATCAATTTACCATTTAAATTGCAAAAAGAACTGATTTAATAAATAAGCAAATAATAATGACTTTACTGCATTTATTGGAGATTAGGCAGCAACAACAGCAGTTTATTTTATAAGCTCAAAGCCCATGTTCCTGAGTGTCAACTAGATGGCGCCTCTGGCAGTAATAACCGTCCGTCTCACCTCACCTCGTCCTGTCAGCGTTTACTGCTGGATAGGGATGTAACGATTCACTCAACTCACGATTCGATTCACGATTTTTTTTTTTTACCTTTTATTATTGCTTGGACAAAATGCTGCACATTTCTTTGTGAAATTAAAATATAACATTATAATAATATACTAATATAGAACTTGCATATTATTGCTCTTTTGTTGGTTTTGATTGCTTCTATTGTCCTCATTTGTAAGTCGATTTGGATAAAAGTGTCTGCTAAATGACAAAATTTTAAGATAATGTAAATGTAAATAACAAAACTAAATTGAAATTTTAAAACAAGCCCCAAATCAAATAAATAAGTAACACAAATATAAACTCTTCATATAAACAAAATAAGGCTTTGTCTGTGCTCTTTCAATTTAAAATTAGAGGCAACCGCTGCATTTTAATCATGATCCAAACATACATCCCTACTGCTGGACGATAACCTCTCCTCTTGAAATATGCTCCCACCTGCCATCTGGCAGCACTGACAGCGGGGAGGAATTTATGGGAGTGTTGAGGCGCTGACAGGCCAGGTGAGATAGCAGCGCGAGGAGACTGATTGGATGAGAGGGGAGGAGAGGAGAGGGAAACGGGAGGATACTGCAGATCCACAAACAGCTGGCCTGTCACTTATAAAGCTGTTTATGGTGAGCGGGAAAAACGCCAACAGAGACCAACAGCATATAAACTCATTAATTACACAGACGGAAACCTCACACGAGTCTGTCTCCATACACACTCCTGTGCAATGATGAGCGGCCATAGACTAGTTTTGATTTAACTTCCAGATTCAATTTTCTAGAAAAGAAAGGGTTTCGTTTATAAAATGCAACTTAAACTCAATATATTTTGCCCTTTTTACTGGAAATGAGGTGAGCATTAATTAATAATAACATGAATCACAATCACAGTTAAACAGCTACAAGCTAATAGTTTGTCTCAGAAAACAACAGACAAAATGAAAAAAAACATTTACTGTAAAAATGTATATATTGTATAATAAAATAATATGACATATGGTATCTTAATTATTCTAAGCATAAATAAATAAATAAATAACCTGCCTGCATGTGCAATACTGGAAATATGCAAAACTTCAAAAATCTATCCTGATTTATAATTAAATTAGTGCTGTCAAACGATTAATCGCGATTAACCGCATACAACATACAAGTTTTTGTTTGAATATTATATGTGTGTGTTCTGTGTATACTCAATATGTATATATAAATACACACACACACATACAGTATATATTTCGAAAATATTTACACGTGTTTACATGTCTATATTTATATTCATATAATTTATATTATAAAGAAATATATTTAATGTATAAAAATAACAGTTTTCTTAAATATATACATGCATGTGTGTATTTATATATACATAATAAATATACACACAGTACACATACATATATTATGTAAACAAAAACTTTTATTTTGGATGCAATTAATCGCGATTAATCGTTTGACAGCACTAAATTAAATCTATCTATCCTCCCTAAAAATACAGCATACTGATCAGAATAAAGAGCAAAGACTGAATCTCATCAACGGCACACCAGACCTAAACACATTTCTGTTCTTACAGTAGGATATAGCAGTCATTCAGCAGACACGGTTATCCCAAACAACTTACAGTACAATAATTATATCTAAAATCACCCTGGACTAGCATGATGTATCATGGCTCAAATCTTCAGATATTTAACCAGGAACGAGTGGATTCCCAAAAAAACAAGGAAAAAATAAACTAAAGTGATTTAAATGTTCAGAAATCACAAATAAGATAAATAGAGATGCATTCATATATGATAATCTTCAAAAAAATTTTTAAATAAATCCTAAACAGCAAGTACAGACACGCGTATAAGCAACTCCTTCTGGAAAAAAATCTTGGTCATTATTCACACCTAAAGAAGCTGACAGAAAGAAAGCTTTATGATTTATGCCACGCTTATGGACATGATGATGAATAATTGCAGCTAGAGGCAGAAGATGTGCAGAAGAATTGAGACGTCTACCTGGCCACACCGGCCCCGTTCCAGCAAGCCGTTCCGTCTCCAGAGGCCAGGTCGCTCACACACAGCTGGTCGGCCAGGCCGCCGTAGAACGCGCGGTGCAGCCGCAGACTGCTGAGGAACTCTCTGTAGACACACAGAGGAGTGTTTCACTGTCTGTCCAGCAGAGGGAGCGCTAACACAGCTGTGTTTCAGCTCTGGAAACACCTGCAGCTTCAACAACTTTTATTAAATGAAAATCTTCCAATTACTGCAGTTTTCAAGGACATAATATTGTAAGAATTAGCTATTCATATCTTATATATATATATATATATATATATATATATCATAAACATAACCAAAAATTCACTTCATGCGCTACCCCAACTATTTTTCATTTACAGTATATTTTGTATATCTTGTATTAAATGTTAAATATTATTGATTAACATTTTGATATTAACTTGTAAAATATATTATATAAAATGTATCATATGTAAAAAGACCAACTTATACTGTTATTTTATTAAAAATAAATATTTTTTTCTGTATGAGACAAAAACAAATATTAATATTGACATATTTTGAATATTAATATTGATATTAATATTATATTAATATATTGAATATTGATATTAACATTAAGACTGATTTCTAAATAGTATTATACATTATTAATACTACATAATATTTATGTAGTTATTATAATTAATAATAATACAATTTAAATAGACATAACCAACATTTCTTGTCACTAACAAGATGTTTGTTTGTTTGTTTTTTAAGTCCCCCAAATATTTTACATATATTTTATATTTTTTGTATTCCTTGCATCACCTTGCTAAATATTAAATATTATTGATTGAAATTGATATTTATATATAAAATATATCATATGTACAAAGTCCAATTTATACTGTATATATGTTATACAAAATAAGTATTTTTTCTGTATGAGACAAAAACAAATATTAATGTTAACGTTATTCCAATATTGATGTTATTAATATTAAGATATATTTTCAAAATACTATTATACACAACATTTTAATTATTAACTAAAAATACCATTATACCATAATATATCAAATATTAATAATGATTTATGTACAAATACACATTTATAATGCGTTTATTTTATTAAATATATTTTTCCTTTATATTATTATTAATTATGTGCAAAAAATACCAATTTATACTATATGTATATTATTATAGAGACCAAAACAAATATTATAATATTAATAATGTATAATATTAATGTCATTATTATTAAGACATGCTGTTTTCTAAATACTATTATTTATATATATATATATATATAATTACTACATATTTCTGTAGTTATTATCATTAATACTACTACTACTACTACTATTAATAATAATGTTTTATGTTTTGCACATATAATTATGTTTTCAAAATACTATTATACACAATATTGATAAATTAAAATATTATATGAATATGTAAAATAGTATTCATTATATGTACAAAGTCCAATTTATACAGTATTCATTATATATTTCTACGAGGGGAAAACATGATATAATATTAAATATTAATGGTATTAATATTAAGAGATGTTGTTTCCAAAACAAAAAAATTGGATTTTAAAATCCAATGTTAATTGTGAAACATGTTTGGACATGACATGTCCCCGTTATATAGTTTCATAGTTTCGATGACTTCATTATTCTAAACTGTAAACATTCATCATAACACAAAGGATGAGTAGATGCGTCCAGAGCTTTGGCTGCAGTATACAGCATGTGTTGATGTTAGCAGCTGTTTTCCAGACTTACTTCCTCCTGTTGCTGAGCGTGTCGTCTGCGTTTCTGACTGCTGCTTTCAGAGGAATGGAGTCTCGTCCGGCGCTGCTGTGCTGACCGCTGCTCACCTGCTCCGGCTGCTGTCTGACGGGGTGACCGCACACCCTGCGCACCTGCACAGATCACACACCATTACCAGCATATCCACACACCAACAAGATATTTAACAGTGGCTAAAGCTCAGGGCTGTGACACTTGCACTTCTGCAGGTCAAAAGGAGTCGATGTGCCTGTAGTAACATGATCAAGCACTAGGTGATGCTGCTTATTAACTCATGCAGCAACAGAATTCGCAAGACTGTGAAGGTAAGAGGAATAGAGAGTGATTGTTTACACACAACTACCGGAAAATGTTGGATTTTAAAATCCAATGTTAATTGTGAAACATGTTTGGACATGACATGTCCCCGTTATATAGTTTCATAGTTTCGATGACTTCATTATTCTAAACTGTAAACATTCATCATAACACAAAGGATGAGTAGATGCGTCCAGAGCTTTGGCTGCAGTATACAGCATGTGTTGATGTTAGCAGCTGTTTTCCAGACTTACTTCCTCCTGTTGCTGAGCGTGTCGTCTGCGTTTCTGACTGCTGCTTTCAGAGGAATGGAGTCTCGTCCGGCGCTGCTGTGCTGACCGCTGCTCACCTGCTCCGGCTGCTGTCTGACGGGGTGACCGCACACCCTGCGCACCTGCACAGATCACACACCATTACCAGCATATCCACACACCAACAAGATATTTAACAGTGGCTAAAGCTCAGGGCTGTGACACTTGCACTTCTGCAGGTCAAAAGGAGTCGATGTGCCTGTAGTAACATGATCAAGCACTAGGTGATGCTGCTTATTAACTCATGCAGCAACAGAATTTGCAAGACTGTGAAGGTAAGAGGAATAGAGAGCGATTGTTTACACACAACTACCGGAAAATGAGTTTTTATAGGAAAGAGGTGGTAAGAGCACATTAATATGTTGTAAAGTGACTGACTCATTCACTGTTTACTGGATATATTGACTCATTTGCTCAGTCAGTCGTCTCAGCATCAGATGGCACATCCATGGATTGTTGACAGACTGTCTGGTTTGGAGACACAAACG